AGTAACTTCATGAATATTTTCTCTTCTAAAAAAGCCAAATCTAAATTATTTTTTGTGGGGATCCCTGGGTGGCGCAGCGGTTTAGCTCCTGCCTTTGGCCCAGGGCGCGATCCTGGAGACCCGGGATCGAATCCCACATCGGGCTCCCGGTGCATGGAGCCTGCTTCTCCCTCTGCCTGTGTCTCTGCCTCTCTCTCTCTCTCTCACTATCATAAATAAATAAAAATTTAAAAAAAGTCCTAGGATCTAGCCCTTGCCTATAAAAAAAATAAAAATAATAAATACATTATTTTTTGTGGATTCATGTTGTGGGTTTCAGTAAGTGCTGGGTAAGGATACCAAAAATAATCAAGACAAAAATTAGTGATAAATAAAAGCTATCATTTAAAGATTGCCTATTACTTGCCAGTCATTGTGTTTAGTACTCTTTATGGATTAATTTAGTTTACAAATGATTCTGTGCTGATCTATTGTCTCATTTGATGGTATATGATTATAGCAGTGGAAACACAATCACATTTTTATTTCTGCCACTCCCTGTGGAAACTAGTCATGCTCTGTATTGATCCCTTCTTTGAGTGTGATGGGACACTGCCATCTGAAAGAGAGCCCAAGGTCTTGGAAGGTAGGTGGTGCCATGCAGTGGACGTGGTTTCTCCATCCATCAGGGCAACTTGTTTCAGCTGTATGAATATAGTAAATACTTAAATAAAGATATAAATGTTCTAAAAGTCACTATTTAAGATATGTTTGCAAAAAGGTAGTGTAAAAAAAAAAAGGTAATGTAAGGGGATGCCTGGGTGGCTCAGTGGTTGAGCATCTGCCTTTGGCTCAGGTCGTGATCCTGGGGTCCAAGGATTGAGTTCTGCATCGGGCTTCTTCAGGGAGCCTACTTCTCTGCCCATGTCTCTGCCTCTCTCTCTGTGTGTCTCTCATGAATAAATAAAATCTTAAAAAAAAAAAGCAGTGTAAGGATTAAGGATTGAAAGCAAAAACATGAATGCCATAATTTAGTCACTTGCATATTTACTTTCCTGGAAATGCTTATGTTTTTAAGCTTTCAGTGTTTTCTTGCACAGCATAGATGTTGACAGAAACCCTGTTTTCCATCTGTATATAAGTCAACCTGTAAATAAAACCTGAAAAAATGTTTGTTTCGGAATGATATAAAAAATGGTACAAGTTGAGAATTCAAGGCTGTTTGTATTGCATCTTAAATGCATCTTAAATACGTTTTTGTGTGCGACATATCTTTTTAAGAATCCTTTCTTTTTTGTCTTGACAAAAGCAATCACTTTATGGTTAGCATAGGCTGGCATTTCTCTTTGCAAATTTGATTTGTTTTAAATATTTTTTTGTTCCCCTATTCTTATAAAACCAAGATTCATAATCTTTCTTTTGCCTTTTTTTTTTTTTTTTTGGTCTTTGATATGCTTTTCCAAAGTATGTTGCTCAGAACACTAATTTAATTAGATATCCCTCAAGAATGAATCCTGTAATCAAATGTTTGGAAAATGCTTCATGGAATATGCATGGAATATATTCACAGCATATATTAAAATAATAAAATTTGTGTATGTATATGCAAATAATAAAATGTATAAGTTCTGAAGTAGAGGAACATTAAATTTTGCCTTATCAAGCATTTCCTAACATTTTTTGATCTTAGATAACACTCCTCTCCCCTATACCTAGGGATGATACTTAAAATATTTAACAGCCAGTACATTGGCTCACCAGTCAGCCTGCTGCTCAACTGTCTGTCTCTCATCCGTTCTTTCCGAGCCCAGATCCCTAGGGGGCTGCAGTTCCCACCGTTGACCATGCAAGGATAGCTGGAAGCATCTGTTATCTGGGAAGGGGAGTTTGCAGATGGGCACTAGGAATTGCTTTCCAGGGCGAGGTAACTTCTCCAAGGTCACTGTCTCCTCCACTGGGGCTTAGGCTGATTGGCACAAGCACTAACCAATCAGAGCACGTGCTCCTCTTAGTGCTGAGCAAATTTCTTAAGGCCCTCAGCTGTGCCAACCTTCAATCTTTTGGTTGCTAGACTGTGAGGAAATCTAGGAGTTCTTCAAGAGAGAGGCCATGTGGTAAGACTGGCAGAAGTGCTCTTCAGAGAACTTAGTGCAGTAACTATTTACTAGCTGGTTTGCAGATATTAAATATTTTCACTTCTCTACCCTTGAATCAATATATCCTGGCTGACTGTTAGTTTTACCCATGATGCATGTAGCCTTCTATCTAATTATAGCTTTGTGGGACAACTTTGGACAACTGCTAGTCTGTGCCGTTTGGGGCATGTGGAAATCCATCCTTTTTTCTCTGTTAATTATTATAATGCCATAATGTTTAAACATGTAGCTCTTCTGGAATTGAGAATTAACAAGTTTTGATTCAGTTTCTGAGATTTAAAAAATCAAGGGGCGAGAGTTGGCTTTAAACAATGGTGCCAGACAGCTTGAAGGATCTGGGCTCGTGATGTTACAATATGGGGAAAGTATCCAGTAACATATCAGAAGCTCTCTGAGAACAAAGTTCCTAATGTATGTCTGATCTAATCACTCTGTTATCATCTTGTCATAATGAGCTACACACACACACACAAGCATGAAAGTTATTCCATTTAAATCCTTATGGAGTCATCCTCATTTGCCCTTGTAGAGTATACATTTTGAATGTAAATGTATTCATTGAATAGCTCAAGGATCACATTGATAGAAATGATAAGAAACTCATTATTGCTCCCTCCCCCCCGCCCCCACCATGGGCTGGTTTCTCTTTCTCCATCCTTCTTGCCCATTATCCTACTAGGAGAATTAAACCATTCTCTCATAATCCAACACAATCCTGCTGATGTCCACCTATGGTTGAGAGCATCTGTCAATGTGGCAGTATTTGCACACTCTGTCCTCTTCCCGTTGCCACCCCCCCCCTTGATAGATTTTTGCATCTCTTTGTTCCTGAACTTGTAAGTATTGTTTAGAATCAAGATCAGAAAAAGTTATCAAATGAAAGGAGCTAGAGAAAGGCTAGTGAAGTTTCAGAGACTTGCAAGTCAGAAAGGAGAGAAAGTTGACCTAGTGAGGCCAGGGTAGGAGTGAGAGAAAAATAAGTAAAACACCAGGATTGGACTGAGTGAAGAAGGAAGTCTCAGGTATTTCTTAGGGGAAATTTCACATCTGCATGAGTTTGAGGGGAAAAAGATGAACATGGAAGAAGGATCTAAAGAAGTCTGTTGTAGTTCATGGATAAGATCTCCTGTGGAAGTTTTGAATGCTCTTCAAATGTCCTTGGCTATTAAGCCAAAGTGTGTTTGATTGTGATAGAGCACAGGCTGGTCCAGAAAAAAGCCAGCTAATATTTGGGTAACACATGGTGCCCTCTAGTTCATGATGCTCTGGTTACTTCCCTTTCCTAAAGCCCTACCCATTTTCCATTTTCAAGTGTAGTAGTTCTTCAAGAAATTTTACCTAACACTCCAATGTTTACTGATTTGGAGCATCACTTTAATTCTATAAAGTGTTGACAATTATAAAATTATATATAATTTATTACATAGTTATGTATTATCTATAAATACAAATTTTAGGGGGAAAATACCTGTATCTCCAGCCAGATTAAATTCTTAATCCCTTAATTGCAGGATCAAATGTTATTTATGCAGCTTTCCTGCTCCCCTGCCTGGTCCGGGATAGATTCTTCACGCATGGTGATGAGGTTGTTAACACAAACTTCTTCTGCGTAGTCCTTATGGCCTGTAGGAATTTGTACTTTTATCAATATCAGAAATGAATTAAAATGGTTACATTTTTGTGTTTGTATTTAAACCAACTGTATTTTCTAAGCCTTGTTAATTCTTATCTATAGCATTGAACTTTAACACGTTATAGCCTTTTATTTCTGCCCTTCAAATAAACTGTTAGGTTTTTGAGAGTGGCAGCAATGTGTCGTATCCTGGTACATAGCGTAGGGTCTGGTACATTTTAGGAGTTCTGCGTTGTAAATGAATGAATAAATGAATTGAGATCTCCCATATCTAAAAGAAAGGCTAAGAGGAAATTGTATGTTTCCTTTAAATTAAACAAAACATAAACAAGAGAAATACTGGGGTATATAATATAAGCAACACAGAGTTTAGGGCCAGAACACCTGGATTCAAATGCTAGCTGGCAGTTTTCCAGCTGTTTTCTTTGAATGGGTCACTTATGTTCTGTCAACTACTTTCTTCAAATACAGATATTATTTCCTCCTGCACATACATAGTTGTAATGATGATCTAATGAGATTGCAATTTTGAAATATGAAATGAACTTTGATAGAAATGGTGATTAAAGCCCACTGATTCAGTCAGAATTAATAAGTTATTGACCAAGGACTAGACTAAGATGAAACTCCAAAAAAAAAAAATAGGGTCAGTTCCAAGAAGTAACGTCCTCCTATCTCCAGGTTAGTTAATACCAGAAAAGGCCACTGAGTAAGATTGTGAAGTTTCATGTATTATTAAGATGTTTTCTTACTCTTAAATAATAGGAGAAGACTAAATGACCTTTGAAGGGACTGGCCCGCCATCTATTCTATGACTCATGAAAGGAAACATAATTTGTACATAAATTAGGAGAACCTGCTTTTCCACTGTGTCAAAGATAAAGCAAAAGTTTGAAAATGTCAGATCTATGTAAAAACTCTTTATTTCTGTGGTCAGTTCAAGAGACACCCTCATCTCTTAATCTTTTAAAATTAAGCACATCCTGTATGCCATGTACGTACATTAAGGAGCAGTAAAGAGATGGAGTTTTAATTTTTACCAATTCAATTTAAATGCAAATGTTAACCACTCACATGATGCTACTGTGTACATAATGAAGCATCATTATATACTACATGAATCATCTAGAAACCTCCTGAGAGCCATTCTACTATGTACAACATGTATTATGCTGACAAGCAGCCAAATGACGTATACTTCTATCCTCATTAATGCTCCTTTTGAATTATAGGTCAACTGATTACGGAACAACTTATGAGAAGCTGAATGATAAAGTTGGGTTGAAAACAATTTTAAGCTATCTCTACGTGTGTCCTACCAACAAGCGTAAGGTAAGGCCTGTATATTCAACGTGCTGCTTATTCATGACGTGACTCCTGTCTTGGTTGGCTAGCCTCTCTAGCTACAAAAAAATCTGTTATGGTTACACCGGGATTAGAGGTGTGAAGATAAGTTGATGGATGTTAAGGTGGTGAGATGCCTGACACCTCCTAATTTTCAGAGCAACAGCTATGAATGTAAGGGTGAGAGGCAGGCACATCATTATCATTTCTGAAAGGCAGCTCCAAGGAATGGGTCTCTGTGAGTGGATGTCAGAGCTCTGACTAGTCAGTCACGAGAATCAGAATGAGCCTTGACAAGATGGAGGAGAAGGTGGGGTTTTCATCTGAAGTCCCCTCTTTTCCCTTGACATGAGTAAATAGATGAACTAGAATTGTGGTGAATGTGTCCTCCTGTAGCATGTTGGATGTTTGCTTTCTGAAGTTTATTCAGCCTGCACACAAATGTCAGGAAGGAAGCATATGGAAGGAACCTTGGAGATTATCATATACTGCACCCTAATTTTAGAGATGAGAAAATTAAGGTTCAGTGAAAGGTAATGGTTTGCCCCATTGCAGAGTTACAAGTGCAACTGGAGCTAGAATTCAGGCTTCTTGGCTGGCAGTTGTATTGTTTCTTCTGCATTATACTGCTTCTGGTATAAGAGTTTACCTCCTCTTCAGAGAGAGGTGTCATTTTCTCAAGGGAGACAATATTTGTTGTTTTTAAAATTTTTTTATTTATATATTCATGAGAAACATAGAGGTAGAGGGAGAAGCAGGCTCCCCATGGAGAGCCTGATGTGGGACTCGATCCCAGGACACCAGGATCAGGACCTGAGCCAAAGGCAGATGCTCAACCACTGAGCCACACAGGTACCCGACAGTATTTGCTTTTAAATGAGAAAGACTTATACTTGTCTCAGGAGGAGAATGGCACTACATCCATTCTTTGGTTTTATAAACTTGCATCGTCAGATTCTGAATTATGACATAGAGTTTCTAACTATTGTGTGAATTACATGAAATAACAGTATCCACCAGGAAAGACAGAAGTGTTCATATGTCCTAAGCTGTTGTTCTTTTATGATGGTAGCAGTGATATCTAGGTTCTCATTTCAGATCTTTCAGTAGTTACTGTTAGTGACCTTTGGTAGGTATTTCATTTTGTTATCTGACCTACGGAAGGTGGATGAGAACATCTCTGAGTGGTCATTCCTTAACTCTGGCTGCACATCCAAAGCACTGTTAGGTGATTCCCAAATGTGCAAGCCCTGGTCTCACCCCCCATTGCTCTGGACTAGAGCTCAGGCAACTGTACCTTGAGCAAGCTCCCCAGTTGTTTCTTGTATGCATCTAGGATTGAGAATTGCTTATGCAAAGTGTAACATTGCCTCTGGCCCTAACCGTTTCAAGTTCTTCATAGAAGCAGTATAACTTAGCAGCTGTGCATAGGCTCTGATGTCAGATGGCATGAGTGAAAACCCAGCTAAACCAGTTAATAGGTGTATAACTATGGTGATTTACTTAATCTCTCCAAGCGGTGTCATCAAATTTAAACTAGGGATAATTATAATTCCTACCCCACGTGGAAAAATTGTAACTATTACATGAAATAAGGCATGTTCTGTGTTTAGCACAGAACAGCTAAGGCTCATCAGTGTTTTCTCTTTATTTTTTTCTCATCTGCCTCCTCTTCCTTCTTCATATAATTATTAGAAGTAATAGTTGTGATCATCTTCCCTAAATAGCAATGTTCCGTAGAATTTTCTGTAATGATAGAAATATTCATTTAAATTGCCCAGTACCTTAGACATTAGCCACTTATGGCTTTTGAGTATTTGAAATATAGCTAGTGTGACTGAAGAACTGGATTTTAAATCTAATTTAACTTTAATTAACTTAAATGTAAATAACCACCTGTGGCTGATGTCTTCAGTATTGGACAGCATAGCTCGATAATGTCAACCTCACAAATGTGGAGATACACACCAAATGTTCCTTCTTCCTCTTACTGGCTAATTATTGGTCCATTATCAGTAGTTACATCTGAACAATTTGACCTGCTGTATATAGTCCTAAACTGAGGACTTACACCCGTAAGTTTTGTAATACGATTCAGTTATGTTTGTTAGCTTTGACTCAATTTTTCAATTCCCTATTGATGTTTCCTCTGGCTTCACATTTTTTAATAAATTTCATCTAACAATCAACGATCTGTAGGTATCATAGGATACAAAGAGAAATAAATCAGCATTGTACCCTGAAAGGTCTTGTATTTTAGTAATAAATGCAACATGCCTTTTTGTCATTAAAAGACCCTTTGACTCTGCTTCCACCTAACAGATGACTTTGTTAAATTTACATTTTCCTATTTGTAAAGTGATAGAGGCAAAAACAAAGGAATTCCAGCTGGAAGAGACCTTAAAAATCGTTCTTAGAATTACTCTAATGTAGTGATAGTCTTTGTTTTATTGATGCTATTAGAAAGGAATATAATAGGAACACCTGGGTGGCTCAGCAGTTGAGTGCCTTTGGCACAGGGCATGATCCCGGGGTCCAGGGAACCTGCTTCTCCCTCTGCCTATGTCTCTACCTCTCTTTCTCTGTGTCTCTCATGAATGAATGAATGAATGAATGAATGAATGAATGAATAAATAAATAAATAAATAAATAAATAAATAAATAAATAAATAAATAAAGTTTTTTAAAAAAGGAATATGTTTTTTTAAAAAGATTGTTTGCCGGAGCAGTGCTTGAAACTTGAGATTCTCAAGTCCAGATGCAGCTCCTAAGATGGGAAGGAAAGCTTAGAGGGAGTATAGCAAGGAACCCTGCATTCTAACCCATTCACTTTCCTGTGCTAGCATCACCCAGGCTACATTTTTAGTCCAGTTATCTGCAAGGCTTTGAAAAGTCACTGGCCATGGAATTTAGGTAAAATTAAAACTTGGCAGACCCTATTTCGCGAGAAAGAGAAGCCCTTGCCCATGACTATGAGAGAACAGCTTTCTTTGTGCCTTTTACCTTCCAGAAGCAGAGGTGGGCCTGAGCTGTTTAAATCACAATGTTTATGGTGAACCTAAGCGAAGGGATCTTTTCCTGTGCAGATAAATGAGGCCTTCAGGGTCACTTTCTGAGATGCTGATAGATTTAAGAAATATTGGAGGACGATGAAGGTCTTTACAATGGTGCAAAAATCAATAAAGTTGACATAGCAGTATATTTGTGTACAGTTTTTCTACTTATGAGGTGAATTTATCATCATGAAATATGTACTCCCCCCTCAAAGGGACCTACTTGAACCAAAGAGATAGTACCTGTACAACATTTTAAAGTGTGAATATATTTCCCCCCAATCAATGAGAGTTTATGTAAAAGAAAGAAAAAGAAAGAAAGAAAGAAAGAAAGAAAGAAAGAAAGAAAGAAAGAAAGAAAGAAAGAAAAGAAAGAAAGGCAAAAACAAAGAAGAAAAAAATTATGCAGGACAAGGCACTCAAGTTCATGTCCGCTGCAATTCTCCTAGGACTTGTGCGTCCTCCAGTGAAAAGGCAGGCTCCTTTCTGGGGTTGTGTTAATTCTTTTCTGTCCCTAGGGTGCTATCTAGCAAGTTAACATCTTTTGTACCAGATATGTCTCTCTGCTTTTCACATCAATGGGAGCAACTGGAATAAAAGTGACATCGGGGAAACTGCCTTGCTTTCCCAGAAACCTGTTTTGCCTTCACATGCTTACTGCTATTTTTAGCTGCTTGTGAGGACAAGCCCAGTTCTTCAATCAACGTGTCTCCAACAGCGGGCATCATGCCCTGGCTTTGCAGACAGCTTGTTAGGGGCATGACTGGGATCAGAGTCCAGAACAAAACAGGCCCTTATTTACAGTTTAAATTAATGATCATCCATTGGCTGTTTCTCTGCAAGCTGCTGTAAATGACAGTGGCTTTCCTTGGATACGTCTGTTACAGTAAAAACTGTCATCTCATCGTAGGCCAGTCTAGGAAATTTTGACTAAGAGACAAAGAAAGCCTACTCCCGGATATAATCCTAGCTCATGCAGCCCCTTTTACATCAGAATCATACACGCAGCCTCTGATAGATGAGGTGGGCCAAAAGAACAAGGATAAGAGGATCCTAGTGCCAGAGGAGAGGAAGGCTAGCTGTCTGTCACCGTGTCTCCAAAGGACAGTGTTCTTCACCTCGGTCCCTGATAAATCCCAAGGCTTATTGGTGTCAGTATGTGGTTTATTGTCCCCATACATATAATCTTCCATGAGAAGGGATGATTTAACCTGAAAATGAGCAGCTGGGATTGGGACAGTGATGGACAGAACTAATACAAATATAACAAAGACAAATAAAATCAGTGCTGAAGTCTTAGTGTCAATATTAAATTCTCACTGAGTTTATTTTTATTCTGCCTACAAAGAAAACTTGAATACTTTGGGTGTGTCTGTCAGCAATACCTTTCCTATTAACCCCAACTGACTGTAGCTGGCCTCTCTTCCCAAGGTGAGATATAACATCTTCAAGGATTAAAGAATGCAAAACCTCAACTGGAATTCACCCAAGTGGAATTCACTGGGGGAGAAAAGATGGGGAAAAAGTGTTTTGTATTTTAAAAATGTGGACCATCCAGTTCATGTCAGTGTTCTCTCCTTGTGCTCTCCATGCAGTATGTTCTCAGCAAAGAAGAAACCTAGAGAGTATTTGCTCTTTATTTTTCCTGTGCCCCTTCGTACCCCAATTTCATCTCCTTTCCTTGTTATTGCCACTTAATTAATACTTTTCCTGCTGAGAGAGCCTTCCAAGACTTTCATCCTATAAATAGGACCCCAGCTTCTCAGACACATTGATCATTATTGCAGGTCTCTTGGTACAGGCCCAGCATTAAACACTGTTTGCATTTTCTCCAGATGTTTAGGTTTTAATTACCTTACTGTATGTGGCACTTTCTAAATAAGCTTTTGATTATTGACTCTTTGCCTCTTCTCTTTATATCCAGGTCATGCTTAA